GGTCTTCGAAAGCTAGCGACTAGTAATAGCAGGCCTCGCACTCCGGGAATTCTATTGAGTCAAACAATAGCACACATAAGTATACTACAATATAACATAACAACAAGTTAATGTAAATCACCCAAGCACTCAAACCAAAACCAAGGAAAACTCGAAGAAAAAAATTCAAGGTTTTCACCACTTCAAGCAAAAACTAAGAAATATTTTTATCCTACTACAACTATTCTTAATAGAACCTAAACAAGGGTTTTGCTAACTAACAGAAGGGAAAACAACATATAAACTAGGTGCAAAAAGAATCACATCAAAAGCTCTTATAGAACTCCTATTATGCCTAGAACAAAACTAGCAATAAAATAGAAATAGAACTTTTTATTTTACTGTAAACAAAACTTCATCCTCTCTCACTACAGAAACTAATCTAAAATAAATTATAACAGAGGCAAAATAAAATTCTATACTAACTAGAACAGCAGGAAAACAGTAGAAAGCTAACTAAAACTAGAAAAACTTGATTTCGACTAAAACTAGTTTTAATACAATCTAAAATACCCAAACAAGTTCCTACTACTAGGCAAGGTCAAAACTAAGCAGTAGCAAAAAGAATCAGTAAAAAGGAATAATCCTAACTCAATTCATGAAAGAAAAACTAATCTGACTAAAACTAATATAAAACTATTTTTATAAACTTAAACATGGCTAAAGGTATTTTCTACAGAAACTACAGTAAATTTGTAAACTAACAAAAAAAGAATCAACTAAAAATAACAAATAATCTAAAAGATACAGCTTTTACAAAAACAGAACTATTTCTGTTAAAAACATAAACTAAACTAAAACAAAAAAACAGGCGCTACTCGGCCTATCTAACGCTCAGGCGAGAATTAACTAAAACGTGCCCGCGACTAACAGAAAAAAATCTGAACGGCTGGTTCGATTGAACCACTAACTAAACCGTACAAAAAAGGAATAGTAAATGGATCTAAACAGAAAAAACATAACTCTTCGCAGACTCTAATCCTAGACGTTCATACGAGATCGGACGACGGGGAGCAACTCCGGTGACTTATAGCAGGTGGCGACGACGGCGATGGATGAGACGACGGCTCGGGCGGCGACGGCGTAGCAGCTCCGGTGGTCTGCGGCGACGGCGGAGATGTTGGGGCGAGGCGGCGGAGTGAGGCGGGGTCGGGGGTGGAGTTGGTGGAGGTTGAGGACGACGGAGACGAGTGGAACGAGCTCGACAGAGCTCCTGGTGAGCTCTAACTCCGGCGACGGGCGGTGATGATCAAGGCGGCGGCTCCGGCGGTCCCTGGGCGAGGTGAGTATGTCAAAGAGATGCGGGGGTTCGAGGGAGTTCGGGTGAAAGTGCTTGGGAGGACAGGGGGTGCTCACCGGCGTCGGAGGTGGCGGCGAACCGAGCAGGGGCGGCGAGATCGGTTTCGCGAGGGCATTACTCACTGTTTTGGGGTCCCGGAGTGACTTCCAGGATTAATCTACCCTAGGGTGCGTTTACGTGTCGGTCATCAACACTCGCAGTTTTTGTCGATTCTGACACGTTTCGTGGACTATTACTCGCCGTTTTGGGATCACAAAGTGATTTCCATGCTTGTTGAACCCCAAGGTGCGCTTACGTGTCGATCATCAACACTCACAGTTTTGGCCGATTCTGGCCCGTTTCTGGACTATTACTCATTGTTTTGGGGGCCCGGAGTGATTTCCATGATTAACAAACCCTGGGGTGCATTTATGTGTCGGTCATCAACACTCGCGGTTTTTGTCGATTCTGACCCATTTCGTGGACTATTACTCACCGTTTTGGGGTGCCGAAGTGATTTCCATACTTGTTGAACCCCAAGGTGCGCTTACGTGTCGGTCATAACCACTGACAGTTTTGGACGATTCTGGCATGTTTCGTAGACTATTACTCACTATTTTTGGGTCCCGGAGAGACTTCCACGATTAACGAACCCTGGGGTGCGTTTACGTGCCGGTCATCAACACTCGCTGTTTTTGTCGATTCTGACCCGTTTCGTGGACTATTACTCACCGTTTTGGGGTGCCGAAGTGATTTCCATGCTTGTTGAACTCCAAGTTGCGCTTACGTGGCGGTCATCAACACTCACAGTTTTGGTCGATTCTGGTCGTTTCGTGGACTATTACTCACTGTTTTGGGTTCCCGAAGTGACTTCCACGATTAACGAACCCTGGGGTGCGTTTACGTGTCGGTCATCAACACTGGCAGTTTTGGCCGATTCTGGCCCGTTTCATGGACTATTACTCACTGTTTTGGGGTCCTAGAGTGATTTCCACGATTAACGGATCCTGGGGTGCATTTACGTGCCGGTCATCAACACTCACGGTTTTTGTCGATTCTGGCCCGTTTCATGGACTATTACTCACTGTTTTGGGGTCCTGGAGTGATTTCCA